TAACACTGTCATTCTGAACCATGAGCTTTCTAGTTTACTCTGGATGACAAACATCAGATTTATGACGTGCAAGAACAACTCCATTTCAGCATTGGCATGCACGCATTTCCACTGAAGACGATTTAGAAGGCCAAAGAATGTTTGTGACGCTATGGGTATGTGAAATGTGATAGCTTCATTCTGACACACGAGATCTCTCCACAGAGCTGTGGGCACTGTTCTTGTTGAGTCGCCTTGGAAATCTCAGTCAAAAACTACGCTCTTGGACCTTTCTTGATGCAAATTCAAGACTACCGAATGCACAAGCAGAAGGGATCATGGGTGAACCACCTCTAGCATGAACAAACCTGCACATTCCAGTATGAGAACTGAATCTAAACCCCACATAACTCGGCTTCCCTGTTTTAAAGGAAGAGAGCGCTATGGTTACTGGCTTGGGTATCATGCCCTTGCAGCTGTTTCTAACTTTAGTGAGCTTATCATCAGTGGCGAATGGAGGAGACGGGTAAGACAGCTGTCCAGCTTGAGCCTGTAAGCAGCCGTACACGCCAGCAGCCTGGGGACAGAAACAGTTTATTCATTCAAAATCTTTAAATGGTACAGTTCACATTAGTAACATGTATGTACTAAGAATGTTAGGGTTCGTTTTCTGTGAGTCATTTGATTCTTCACTCTGTGAACATGTTCAGCTCTTCCACGAGTGCATGGAACAAGTGGGCTACATTTACATGGCTATAATGAGAAAAAATACTAACATTTTAAAACTAGGTTTGTTTTTTTTTGAAACTACAAAAATTATCCTCGTCATAATCTTCCCAGCAAGTGATAAGTCTCCTCTCAGAGGTAGGAACAAGAGAACTTCTAAGGAAACAGAAGAGTAAGAGGCTCCTGGCAGGCCAGGCTAGCTTGCTATTCTTAGTCTTGACTAAGCTGGTGAAGGCCACTTTCACAAGAATGTATTATGTGTAAGTCTGGTGCTGGCGAGGCCAACTGGTGTGAGGGACACGGGCTATTTAAAACCAAAGGCAATAGATTTGCAAAGAAAATCTTGCATTAGAACTACGGCATACTTCTGGCTAACACCCAAAATCCAAAATGAGCAGTCAGTTTTTGTTTCTCCAGATTCACAAGGTCCATTTCTTATGCTCCGTTTGCCCCTTCCAGATGAGAGAGCTTTCTGAGGCTCATTTTCTGTAATGGAAGGCTGGAACGCACCACCTCCCAGAGACGGGTCTCTGTGCTGGACAGATTTTTGGAGAAGTCTTCTTGGCCTTCTTCCATTTAGTAACCACAGCACATCTTCCTCAGCTTCAAGTCACATAGCAACAAGGAGGGGACAACTTGGAAAGCAAAGACCCGTTCCAAATTGCAGTCAGTCTCGGCAATAAACATTATCCTGAAAGTGTAGCATCTTCAGAATGAATTTAATAATCTTATTTGTTCTGTTTGGGGGTATGCTTACTATAATTTTAAATGTGAGCTTTCCAGACTTTCTAGAAGATCCTATGGGGTATTTTACAGATATCAAATACTACAATTTAAAATCTTGAACCTTCAGGATGAACATTTTCTGAACAAATTGTAATTTTTCCTGTCCACTTATACAGGCCACCCAAATGCAATTGGGTTGGGGCCTGCTGAACAGATGGTTATGGTTTGGTTGTGGGGTGCCATGTGGGTTTTCATTGTCTTGAGATGTCTAAGTTTTCTGTGGACATTTGTAGTGTTACAGCCTGGCTCACGGTAGTTACATTAAACATATTTGTTGGATGAAGACAATTTAGTATTTTTTAAAGAGCAAGTTTGGATTACAAATCTGAACAATGAATATTGTCTGTATTTTTCCACGGTGATGGCCCCACAAGGTGGTTTGTTCTCTATGAAAACTTTTCTGTGTTCTTCCCTGCCATGATGACTAACTTTGCTCATTCTGCCGAACAATGGTAAGTGGTTTTCTTTCATCCTGCTGTGTATGTGTTTGGAAAAGCCCCGATTCTTAATTATAATCCATTGCTTCTTATCAGTCGGTGTGCCTGGCTCTCAGATGGGCAAATCATCCAAACTGACAACAGAATTTGGGGGATTCATGCCTGACTTATGGAATATATATGCTAAATCCTTTCCTTCTTAACCTCTGATAGAAAAGATGTTGCTATCCTAGAAGAGACTTTCCTGGGTAAAGCAACATAACTGTCTGGAAATTTCGCGTGGTAAACTTAAGTTTGAGAAAATGGATACCAGCCTGATCCTGTCATCGCTGTTCTTCCCAGAAAAGCCATTGCTTGTGACACAAAATCTGAGCCCTTAAGTTATAACTCCCTACCATCCTCACGTAAATGAGATGTTATTTTTGGTCAGCTTGCAAGAAGAAAAAAAACACGTGGCTACTAGCATACTACCTTTCTAAATGTAGCTATAAACAGTTCCTCAGCACTGCAATACAGCTGCGGAAATTTCTAGAATGTTTTGTGTGTTCATGATATATCCACATGGCCAGGCAAGAAAAGGCAATGCTATTGAGTGGTTATGCATAAAAAGGTATCCTTGCATGAAACGGGTGGGAAAGATGCCTCAAAATCTGGCAGTTTGATGGCTGTGTATCTCATGGGTAAATGTGTAGAAAACGCGTTTTTCAAAAATTCACCATGCATAACAACATGCGAAGATAACGAAACACAAAAGGCACGGTTGCCTGTCTTTAAAGAACCCCGCATCCTATTTTTAAATCGCTTTCAGAGCAGCTGCCATTCCAATGCCTTAGAGCACAAAGCCCTCCCGTAAGGACCCAAGTGAAGAGCGCTAAGCTAGTTCCAGCAAAGTCAAGAGAAGCAAATCAAGTGTGGCAGATCTTTCCCCACATCTTGTAATGGATGTATGGAAGGCGGGACCAGAAATGGTCGAACGAGACTCCACACACTCACTGAACGGCTCACTCTGGAAAAGCACACACCAAGCACTCTCGGGTTCAGATGAGTCTTGGCTCAAAGTTGACCCCCAAAGACTCTAGACAGACGTTCTGTAGTCTTCTAGGGCACGGTTAATATGAGTCTGTCTCTCTCTCACACACACCTTCCTTTTCTCATATGAGAAATGAAGACGCTAAAGCCAGATGTTCTCCGAGTCTATTGCGACTCAGTGTCCGAGACTAAAACTATGTTTTGCGATCAGCTTTAAGAATTAAATGTTAAGCACGATCTAGTTGCCTGGCAAAAATGTTACTCACTAGTTTATAACAGAAAAAAAAAAACCTGAACACCCTGCATGTCAGTTCTTGTTGCTTGTTTTGGGATGGGGTCTTGTGTAGCCCACGCTGACCTTGAACTTGCTCTGTAACCTAGACTGGCCTTGAACTCCTGCTCCCCCTGTTACCTCCCCAGTGCTGGGAAAACAGGCCTGTGGTACCTTGCCTGGCTTCACTTCATTTTGTATAGTTCTCTAGAAACCCGTGTCTAGACAAACAGATCTAGATGCCAAATGTTGCCACCATGGAACCATCAACTGGGTCCTCTCTCCTAGTCGCAGTTCAGAGTAGAGTAAGGTATGTCTACATTTTATTTTACTAAGGGGCTCCCACTAATTTGGTATTTGTAAAATCCAGCACATGGATGCTACACTTCAACATGCCTGTCACGTCGCTACCAAAACAAGCAAACAAACAGGAAAAATAAAAGTATAAAAAGACCCAAGTTTTTCAAAGGTCTTTCAAATATCAAAGTATAGCCTAAAGATTAATTAGATTACAAGCAGAAGCAAGGAAAAATGACACTTCTCTTAGTAAGTAAGACTATGGTCAAGTGATACCTGACTTCCAAACCAAACCCGTGTGTATCTGCTTGCTCATTCCCGAGGTGGTACAGACAATCACGGAGTGTCCCTACTATGGCTGGTAGGGTCATCTGTCAACTGGGCTGGCTCCAAGTGCAAGTTCATCATGAGGTTGTCCCCATAAATAGAACTGTTGGAAAGGCTTGGGCAGGGGAACCCAGCCTCATAAATGCCACAGCTCATGGGGGCCATGGAAACCCAGTTAAGCGGGATGGGGAACACATTAGTCTGTGCCACTGGTGTTCTCTGTAGGTGCAGGGTTGCTCCATTTCTGCAGGAAGGGATGTTTGGGCAAAGCAAGGAAGGAAAAATGACAAGAAGAAAGATGAAGGAGATGGGGGAGAGGAAAAGGAGACAGAAATTTTAGAGAAAGATTATTTTTAAAAAATAGCCACGGATCTTTTATAATCCTGGGAGAACAAGAAGTTGTGATTGATTCTTGAACAAGAGTAAAGATACCTAAGGGAGGTGCAGACTGCAGCACAGGGAACCGGGAGATGCTGTCCCCTGTGCAGAGGGCAGACTGCAGGGTGAATCCACCAGAATGTGAACCAGACCAAGAAGAGAGAGCGTACACTGCGGGACTGCACTGCTGATGTGACAGCCAGGCCAGCTGCTTCTCCCTGACTCCTCCCACTGGACCGGATCCCAGCAGTCCCTCCTGATCTCCTCTTGCCTTCTTTCTCATGCTCCCTCTCACCCCTGTCTGTGATCTGCAGGAAGGGCAGGTGCCTCAGCACAGGCCACCGTTAAAGCTTAATTACTCATCCTTTAACCTGGGAGTTAATGAGTCTCAGAATCTAGTGGACCCAGATTGCGCAGCTGGGCACAAAGTAAAAGTTCAACAAATTTAGTTAGCCGCTTTTTCCCTCAGCCATTTTCCTAGTGGACTCAAAGGTTTCACTCCCAAGGGAAACAGACGTGGAACTGTCATGACCTTGATGTGTTTTCCCCAGAGGAAGCCCATGGGTGGAAGACCGTTAAGCTCAGCACTAGACAATCAGCACACATAGCATGAAAGACAAGATTAACTGGCTCCTCTGAGACTAAAAGGGCATGGGTAAGAAGTGTTCTGATTCTGTGTATGTGTGTGCATCTGTGTGCAAGCATGCATGCATATTCATAGACACTGAGACACACGCTCTGGGCTCAGTGTGTCCTTTTGCAAAGCCCACCTCATTGATCTCCTCTCGGGTGGTGCAGAACTCCAAGCTGCAGGACAGGACCCTTTCGTACGCTCTGGCACTGGCGCTCCACTCCCTGCTATCCAATTCAAGGGCCTCCAGCTGTTGCTGCAGGTTCTTTGCAGAGATATTAGAGCAGTTCTGGAAATGAAGGGTGTGGAAATAACAAGGGGAAGCTGTGAAACGGTCACGTGACCACATAGCATTTGCCTGGATCATGGCGCTCACAGATTGCTTTGAAAAACATATAGGGTCCTGATTTATTTTACCCTAAACGTATTTGAATCTTATTTTTTTAGAAAGAAGCCAGAAATTCAACATTATGGAATAGACATTTCCGTTCTTGAATCTCATCATCATCCCCAACTCCTCAGAGACGCCATTCATGATAAGGTCTAATTTTTACTTTGAAAAGCATAAAATATGCATGAGGAACATTCTGCCTCGGCACTGTAATTTTCTCGTCAACTCGAGTTTCACCCCAGGTTCGTTAAGCTCCAGTCTCTGTCTAGCACTGAGGGGATGCTGGCACCAAGGCCAGAGAGGGCTAGAGAACAATTTACGTTATTTGTGCAAAGTGAGATCCTCCTTTCTTTTTATTTTAAAAAATAAACTCACAAATGTAATCAAACCCCTTAGAAAACCTTGACGTTGGCAAAAACGGACTCTATTAAAAGCAACAAATTCTCATATTCTGTCTTTTACTTACTTAAAGGGTAGACGCTAGGCTCGCTACGTAACATGTAGCCTGGCAGGTATCTTAAATGAACTTTAAAATGAAACTGGATCTGTGGTTCTTATTAATAATGAAGAAAACATATCCTTTCTACCCTCAAAGCATGAATTGGAGAATTTTTAAAGCACCAGAGTCCAGTGCACTAGTCATGGACTTTGGATCAGGAAACACCTTCTATTCTTTTAGGCTCCCCTGTGGAAATCCGGCCAGTGGTCTACAGCAGATGCAACAACCGGTGCCCGAACCCGGGTCAGAAGCAGAGGGCCTGGGCCCCTCTACTATGGACTTGTATGGATGACTACCCTGTATCTCTGGGATTCAGCTTCTTCCTCTATACAATGGGGCTGCTGCTCTGGCAAGACTCTGGAACCCAGTGGTCTTTGGGCTCTGTATCCCGAAGCCCCATTGTACAGTAGAGATGTGGTAGGAACCAAAACTGAACAACTTCCAGCAATCTCATTGAAGCTGGGTGGTGGCGCACGCCTTTAATCCCAGCACTCGGAAGGCAGAGGCAGGCAGATCTCTGTGAGGCCAGCCTAGTCCATAGAGCGAGTTCTAGGACAGGCTCCAAAGTCACACAAAGAAACCCTGTCTCAAAAAAAATAAAAAAGTAGCAAAACCAATAGTCTCACTGAAAAATAAATAAGAAATAAATAAAATTAACCCTCATAACACAGTTAACCATGTGTGTCCAAATACTATCCTTTATAACATATATCTAATATAGAAGTGTTAAGATCTTTTTTATCAGACATCTTTGAAATCTAATGTGTATATCATACTTTGTATGTTTCTTAGTTGTGGTTAATTTCTCTCAGAAATACTTGATCTAGTTTTAAATTTCTCAAACTGTAGGTTCCAAGGTAGACTCACAAGCCCATGCAGTTCCTGAACATATGGAGAAATTTCCAACAAGGGCATTGAACGTCAGCTTTTACAGTATAATTTACTTCAAATTAAAGCGAGAAGTTTAGGTTCTTAGTTGCCTTAGGTGCATTTCAAATGCAGAAACCTAACGTCCATCTGAGATCGTGGCTCCATTTTAAATTCACACAAGAATAATATGTATCAAATACGGTTTTATGCTCAGATTTTCCCCTTGGATTTTATTAGTTTGTTAACAGTGGTGGAAACTTGGAGATCACAAGCACTCCAATGATTGCATGTCTTTTTAAACTTAACATACTGGGACCAGGGGATGGCATAATAACGCTGCACTTGGTTAGCACGTGCGAGGGTCTGGGCTCAATGGCCAGCACCACACGCAAAAGCCTCAATTCAGATTTAACATGTACTAAACAATATGCCTGCTTCTTTCATTCTATAGCCCATGTGGCCGAGAGAGGGAGGTAGCAGGGATGCACCGGGATGCTTACCGGCTGTTGAACGGATGAAATGATGTCCACTCCGAGGGAAAGGGCCAGCCGACCGAGATGCTCTACATAGGCCTGCCTTTCCTGAGCACGGTCCAGTTGCATCTGGACCTCCTTAGAACTTTCCAGTTCCGTGGGCTGCGCAAGAAGCTCCAGTTCCTTTGATTTGATGAAATGCATCAGCTGGAATTCAGAACATTAGCACTTAGCCCGCTTTTTCCAAAGACTGTTTTCTGCAGGGCTTTTCTGTGTTGACATGCTCCCCAGCCCATCCCGAACCATTAGTCCTATAGAAACAGACACACGCTGCCATCCTATGAACCCAATAGGATTGCTTTAATCGGTTAACATCCTAAGTTCTACAAAAGAGGGAAATATGCTTCAGGACCATAATTCCAAACTTTAATAAGATCTTGGTCTGTGATTTAAGGAAACTCAAAAAAAAAACTATTTTAAAAAAGACTTCCCTATTAATGTGTATGAGTATAGCTTGCCCATGTCTGTGTATCAAATGCATAGCTACTCAGAGGCCAGAAGAGGGTGCTGGAGTCTCTGACCTGGCATTAGAGATGGTTTGAGAAGCCGTGAAATAACCAGTAAACAATATTTATTGAGTGCTCCATGCTGACAGGCTCTTGAGATGAAAAAAATAAAATAAAAAGAAAGAAAGAAAGAACTTGGTTTTGATCACCTTGCCTCCCAAGAGCTAATATTTGAGTTGGAAGATAAAATCTAGTTTCAAAAAAAAAAAAAAGCAGTCCTGATGGAGAACTGCTAGACGTAAGGACTAGCGATTGCTGTGGGAATTTAGAAGAAAAAAATCACTGTGAGGGAGACGGGGTGGGGGGCCGTTGCTGGAAGGAGGCATGAGGTTTATTCTAACAAAGAGCAGAGAAGCATCCGCTAGGAAATGCAGGTTGAAAGCCGAGACTTGGATGTAGGAAACATGTGCCATGCTCACGGGAAGGGGAAGAGCACAGCCTGGCTGAGCACGGAGCAGAATGGAGGTCCGGGGGGATAAATCAGCAGCCAGGGTGGATAAACCTCTTACGCTAAGACAAGCAATTTGGTTTTCATTTAGTGCACAATAATAACATCTGAATTTAATCTTGTAAAATCCTGCAGCCTTCGGACAACCACAGTAAGACTTACTTCCTCCTTGACTTGGTGGAACTGGATTGTCTTGTATAGGATTTCCTCGTAATCCCGGATTCGCGCTCTCTGCCTCTCGTGGAGGTGGATTAAGTCCCTCAGTTGGTCAGACTTCTCCTTCAGAGGGGCTCCCTGACCACTTAACACTTCCCATTCTTTCATGATATGCTGAACCTCGTCATACAGTTGCTGTTGAAAGTCATCAAAGAGAAGCAAGAAGCGCAGCTTTGAGTTTTTATTGGACAGTGGAGAATCTGATTATCTAAATAATGAACCATTCTCTCGTTTGTTAACAGATGCTTAGGAGCCTCCTCAAAACCCAGAGTCTGTGCTTAATGATGGGGACGTCGAGACGCATTGTTCCATTCTTATCTTCTCAGAACTTTATAAACATCATGGCAGGGAAAGGCAGGTCTTTCGAAGATACATGGTAAAATGGAAAGCCATGCGTGCCTACGATATACCAAACGTACTGGGCTTCAGCTAAGTAAATATACTTCTTCTGATATTTAATATTGCTTAGGATTGTGTGGTCTGGTAAGGACGCTGAGAGGAAGAGTATAAAAATACACCAGGGGAATTACGTGTGTGTGCTCTGTAATGAAAGAACGATCAGAATGAGCCACCAGCCAAACGGCACACAAGATATGCGCCTTCAAAGTGCGCATGCCACACTCCACAAATAGCCACCGCACGGAGAAGGGATAAACTGCCTTCCCTTTCAGTCCCCACGGCTCGGACATCCCATTTAGGAATCCCCACCCTCAAGGAGAGCTGGCAAAGGGCAGATTGCTTAAGGAGAATTCTACTGCTATCCCTACTGCGGATTCTCGTAATCAAAAGAAAAAGTAAAAGAAATGCTGTAGGAGATGATTTTCCCAAGACTGACTTGCATCAGATGGCCAAGTTCAAATCAAATATATGGACCCCAAACAGATGACACACATCAAGATGACAGACGACAAAGCTATGTAACCTTAGCCACGGGTCCTAATTAAGGACTCATGCATACGTGCAAACACACACTAAAAGATAAGTACGTGTACCACACAGGATATAGCAAACTGGGCCAGTTGATACTTAATGTGAGTTGGAATAGGAGTGTTTGTTGTCGATAGTGAACCTACAATTAGATGTTTCCCACAGGAATCTCAAAATCTCTAACTCTGGAATTCCTTAAAGCAAATACATATTAAGTGATAATAATTAGAAGCATCTTAGTTTTTCAGCAAAACCCCCAAATCCAATAGTGTATGTTTGTGAGTCAGGACTTGAAAGGTGGAGAAAAAAGGGTCAAGAGCTCAAGGTCACCCTTGGCTATATAGCAAGTTTGATGTCAGCCGGGGCCACATAAGACTGTCTCTAAATAAATAAATAAATAAATAAATAAATGGATAAGTAAACAACCGAGTCCACGGAGGGCGCTCCGACAGTCAACCAGCCTTGGCGGTTGTGTTTAGGAGTGGCAGGGACACAGGGTGGAGGCCATGGAGGCAGGAAGGGAGTGTGGTAGGAGCTGGGATACTGGTGTGTGGCATCAGGGACAGCCCAGTGATGTGGGGACCAATGACAACAGAGCTTCTAGGTTAGAGGTTGTGGGGACCAATGACAACAGAGCTTCTAGGTTAGAGGTTGTGGGGACCAATGACAACAGAGCTTCTAGGTTAGAGGTTGTCAATCTTGTTCTGAGATGCCATGATTTAAAACACTCCCTAAGTCAAAAACTGTATGGTGAATACACTAATCAATTAATTAGAAATATAAATTAATGTAGGTAAAATGAAAATATATTCAGGATTCAGTATGTTTGGGTATCATCAAATACAAAATTTTATAGGGGAATAGTAAGAAAATACGTTGTTACAGGGGCTTTTAGATCAAAAAGGGTAAAGAAGAAGAAGAAGAAGAAGAAGAAGAAGAAGAAGAAGAAGAAGAAGAAGAAGAAGAAGAAGAAGAAGAAGAAGAAGAAGAAGAAGAAGAAGAAGAAGAAGAAGAAGAAGAAGACGACGACGACGACGACGACGACGACGACGACTTATTGGATCTGGGGAGTTGGGAACGATTTTCCATTCACCCAGACCCCCGCATTCGCATCTTCACCTGAAGCTGGGGCTTCATGGCGTTCCACCTTCTTCGCAGATCGGACATCGTCTGGAGGCTCCCTCCAAGGTCAAGGGCAGAGACGGGCATAAGAACTTCGTGGAGAAGTTTTACGTTGTGAGTAGTCTGAAAGAGACATTGACAATTATGAACGTGTTTCTGACAATTCAGCAAGTGGTCACTTCGGTGGTGACATGGTGTGCCATGACGCTTTTTGACCCCCTGCAAACTCTGACCTCACTAGTGAGGTCACACGAGGCTCTTCATTTCCTGTGTTATTTTTGTTGTTCTTTCTCACACCATGGTAACATGCACAATTTTTACCATTGCTCATATAACAAACTGCACAGTTGTTACCACTGCTAAATGTGCAATGAAGTGTCATCAAGACATATACATTACTGTGCAGCAGCCAGCACCATCGGCCTACAGACTGCTCTCATCCACCTGTACAGATCCTGTTAAGCAACACCTCACCCATTCCCTCTTCCCCCCTTGCATCCCCTGGGAGCGCCCATTCTGACCTTTATCTCTATGAATTTGACTCCATGCTTGCAAATGAGCAGAACCACACAATTTGTGTCTCCTGGTGCTGGATGGCTTTGAGACTCTACAACTTTGCACGTATCAGAATTTACTCTTTGAAAGGCAGCCTTCGGCATTCCTTGTGGTCTCTTGGTTTTGGTGCTAAGGTTCACCCCCGGAGCTTTATGTATGCCAGGCGACCAGTCCACCCTGCCAGTGCCCAGCCCGCCCTCTTACCTTTTTCAGTTTCTCTTTGAACGTCTCCCACTGCTGCCCCACAGGCTTGCCTCCGCTGGCTTTGAGGTACCACGCCATTCGAAGACAGCTGAGCTCCTCCCTCCCGGCTGTTTGCTTTTCCACAGTGTTCTTCATGACACGCATTTCATCTTTAGCATTGAATATCTCATTCTCTTTTGCCTGTTGAATTAATAATCCATGTAATGGCTTTCTGTCCTAAGAGACACATTTTTCTTTCGCATTCAGCTATTTTAGGTGGCAAGTGCTTTATCACACCAGGGCAGGATACAGTTTAGACAGATAAGCCTGGTCTCGTGCGCAGAGGCACAGTTGTGGTTAGACCTATATTCTCTGCTTGCACATCAACAGCAAGATCTTTAAAGACCTCATAGACCATTTAGTGGTCTAGGAGGGTATCTAATAATAAAATGATAAACTCTGCCACTGTGATTTATAAAATATAATAAATTATTAAAGATATTAGACAACTACAGTGGGAAAAACTACACTACATGTTTATATATGGTATAATTAAGGTTGGAATAGCTTTGATATATTATTAAGAAGCTATTAAAGTATAGAATATCATTCAATGCAATATTAGCTGGGAATTGTGTATTATAGAAGACAACTACAGTCATCAGCATACAGTGGTCTGAGTAAGGTCTAGAAAAGGCAGGCTACTCTAAGACGTGTTGAGGGTTAGCCAGCAGGATACAAGAAGTGATTCTGTATTCAGCGGAGTTGGTGTTTTGTCCACTCCAGGAGACCAACCATTTGCCCTTAGTCTCTTTAGTAAACCTATCCTCCTTTTACTTCAGTATACCACATGGAAAATTGTGTGGTCATGCAGTCTAAAGAAGGCATTCAATTACCCATTTGCTTTAAATGTATATTCAGTCCTGTACTGTTCTCTGATCTCTTGCTGTTCTTTTTTTTTTTTTTTTTTTTTTTTTTTTTTTTTTTTTTTTTTTTTGGATGCCTTGGAAGCAAGAAGGCTAACACTCGATGGAATTCTCAGTTTTCCCCACTGCAAACTAATAAGCTGGCAAGTTCATTTGCCAGAATTCTGGCTAAAGTCAATTAATCTGATTCAGATGAACTTTATATTGAAAAAAAAACCCATCAATTTTGAGCTTCTAAATACCAGTCACAGAAACATACCCAACTCAATAGAAAGAGCCAGCTTCCATCTTTCTACTGTAACCAAGCCCCTCACCACACATCAATGTGCACTTACAAAACTGCTGCTGTGCAGATAGGGAGAGGAAAAGCATCCTTGTCAGCAATTTCACCTACCAGGATGTCGATATATCAGTGAAGTTAATTATTATGTAGACTTAATATTTTATTAATAAAGAACTTATCACACGACTGCTGAAATGCTAACAATGATGAACTGAAGACACAAGACTATCAAGAAGCGGGAAGATATGAACTATCTCCAGGAACAATTATGAATCAGGATTTCATAGCAGCCTGTTCATTTGGACCTAGATTCAAGATATGAGTTTGGATGCATTTCTTGCTGCAACCCTTCCCACAAGAAGATAACACTATCTGATTATTTATACAGGAGTGACACCTAACACTTGCTAAGTATTCAACAACTTGGATAAAAGACAGGGTTGCAGATCAAAAGGCAAGAGGAAAAACGATACAGCAGAAACACCTCTAGATGCAGGTGACAGAGGTAACTCTAGCACACGCTAAACACCCTAGATTAACGTGGCCCAAGACACCTTGAAGGTGAAGGAAAACATCAACAACTCTATCTCATTTTAGACCACTTGGCATTTCCAGAATTGAAAGGATTTCTAATATTCAGCAATTAAATGACCACACAAAAATACACAGTTTGCAAATGACTTCATTCCCTTGTAATGTAAATGCCTAAAGATGAAGGCAGTTATACTAAGAGAAGCAAATATGTAGGAACATGGATAAATTGCTTGACAATATTTTTCTGGTGTTTAAGAAGGGCAGTATCTAATTTATAACTATTTAATGAATGTTTTGGTTCTATACAGGCTGATCACGAATGTTCTTCAAACAACAAATGTTAAAACCAAGAAAAAAAGACAACTGTAGGTCAAACAGAGGAGGGGGTAAAACCCGAATCTGCCAAATGAGTTCTGTCCCCGAGTCAGATCACAGCTCTCAAGAAAATGGCAAATGTTAGTCATCCTTAAACATCGAGAGAAAGAAGATTTAGAGATAGAGAAAGGGAAATGGTCTGATTCTCAAATGAGGGCCATTTGGTATCAGATTGATAAGTTTCACACGGACAGTCAGGGTGGTTAGATTCTGCTTACAGAGCACTCGAGAAGAATGCTGGACTCAGAGGAGTTGGGCCAAACTATGGTTAAGGGTATGGGGGAGTAAGCCCTTCGGGTATCTTAATGAGGAAGTTTCCCATTATGAAACTCTCTCTCTCTCTCTCTCTCTCTCTCTCTCTCTCTCTCTCTCTCTCTCTCTCTCTGTGTGTGTGTGTGTGTACAGTGGTGATTAGGGTAAGATATATTGGAAGCATTAATGGCTGCGTTTTTTTATTTTAACTGTTAATCGATAGATTGCTTCAGGAATTAGGATGTCAATCTTCCTTTCAGACATTTTGGCTAAAGAAGTAATTACAGCTATCAAGGAATGGCTTGTGATAACTCTACAGAAGGAAACCCAAGAGAGACAGTTAATAGAGTAGACAGACCCAAATTAGCTTAACAGGATGAATCATAGGCTAAGGCCGAAGGAAATCAGGCAAGAAACACACAGGCTACGTCTTTATGGAAACGCTAAAGGGCTGGCATAGAGAGCCCCGGCCAGACTGGAGCTAGGATTAAGGAGGTCATATAGGCGGCAGTGGCTCACCACTCAGTAAGAGAACAGCAAGGAGAGACCACTGCTTAAACTGTTAGCCCCCTCATGTTTCAACTACAAGAAAACATCCTGGTTGGTTGTAGTTCAGCTTCTGGTTCCATTTCATGAATGGCTTTAGCAAGTAGAAAATTTTGGCAAGGCAGGTCAGCCCGAAGGAAGAAATTAAAGTACACCATAAATGATAAGTATGTAAATGTGCAGCTGTAGAAAAGACTCATGTCAAACATAGCAAGGGCTTTCAACGTTGGGTAGAATTTCGTACGCAAGAGAAATTACCTACGAATGGTTTTGTGCCTGCATGGCTACAGAGGCTCAGGACCAGAGATGATGATGGACTTACTTAAGATTTTAAAAACGTTCTTTTTTTTTTTTTTTTTTTTTTTTTTAACAGCTAGCATTTTCCCAACAATAAAATGAGCTGTTTCATTGGGGAAATTCATTTGGTTCTGAGGGAAAGTGAAGTAGTCTTGCTGTCAGAATTCTGTAGGCAACTTCAAGAGGATGAACGACTGCGTAAAGGTCCTAAGATACTTTGCTTATTTAACTCAGGGCAACTAGGGCTTAGGGGGTGCAGGGGGGGGGATAATAGAACACAGCGTGAACACAGAGGAAGGGAACCCTGGAGTGAAGAGGCTGAAGGGGGGCAAGGAAGCAGGGAGAACACAAGGTTGGAGGCAATTTTAAGCAAATAAAATCAATCTTTGGAAACCTATTATTTTGTAAGCTAATTAAAAATTATAATTTTAAAAAAAGAGGATCTGTTAAAATGAGAAGAAATTCTCTAGAACAAAGATTTATCACAGTTATTCTCTTTTGTCCCTGGGAATTTTTAAAGACCTTGCTGTCAACAATGTAACTCAGGACTTTGGGACAGACTTCTGAGGACTCTATATGCGGCATTTGAATCAGAATAGCTAGGATGGTTTTCCTGTGATACGAGGGCTCTGCGACCCCAAGGCTTATAAATGTTGGGCTTCAGAACGAGTCTAGCGTGAGTGAAGCTGAAAAGACCTCCCTCTGCCAGCAGGGCTGATTAATGGACAAGTTTAACTTTGGAATGTACGCTCTTGACTTTGCGGAATTAAGATCTACAGAAGGCATTGGCTTACTTAGTGTTATTCTCACCATATTTACTAAGTTAAGGAATTCAAGTCCCAAGTCCTGGGTCACAAAACTCTTCTTTAAAAACAACTGCCATCTCCTCTCAGCAGAGCTGGACCAGTACTTGACTTCAGCATCATCTTCATCGGTCGGAGGGACTTTGGTCAGATAAAACGCCTTTAGTCTCTGAAGCTGCTCCTCCACCTGAAACAAAGAGGAGGAAGATGAGAGCAAAGAAATTTATTAAGTAGAAAGAACACAGATTCCATTTGAAGTCTGTATAAAATTAAGTGGGAACTACACTTCTAGCATTCCTTAAATAAATATTGACTATTTTCAGGTTACTGAAAAGCATGGAAATCTGCTTCCTAACCCACAGACAGGACTTCTGCTGGGTGGCAAAGTGAGTTGATAAGTTTATTGCCAATCAGAAATATTTATTGTACCACAGATTATTTTTATGTATATTTTACAATTAGAATAATTTATTTCAGAGATCAAGCGGCTGCTCTGTTTAAAACTGAGTTTTATAATAAAAAAGCACAAATAAAGCCGGGTGGTGGCGGCGCAAGCCTTTATTCCCAGCACTTAGGAGGCAGAGGCAGGCGGATCTCTGTGAGTTCGAGGCCAGCCTTGTCTACAAGAGCTAGTTCCAGGACAGGCTCTAAAACTACAGCAAAACCCTGTCTAAAAAAAAAAAAGCAAAAGCACAAGTAAAAAAAAAAAATCAAGGAATACAAATCAGGGAAAAAAAGTAATTCAGCAGAAGGCAATTTTTACTCAGTGTATTATGATTCATTCATTTTAATGTAATATTTTTATTAAGTATTTGAGGATGTAATATAATGTATTTGAATCATATTCACCACCTACTTCTCTAACTTTCCCAGATCCAGCTCCACCTCCTCTCTCCCTCTCCAGTCCTTTTCCTCATCTTTGCTTTATAAATATATTCACCAGAGTCCAATTAGTGATCCCCATATCTACTCATAGGCATGGGACCAACCAACAGAACACGGTCAATCTACCAGCCACGCCCTTAAAGAAAGCTGACTCAGGGATATAGAGATGGCTCAGAGGTTAAGAACAATGGCTGCTCTTCCACAGGACTCAAGTCCAGTTCCCAGCACTCATGAGGCAGCTCTCAACTACCTGTAGCTCCATCTATAGCGGATCTTATGCCTTCTCTGACCTCCACAGATAACAAGAATACAAGACGTACACAGGGGATGCGCGCAAGTAAAACACCCACACACATACATCGAAATACAATGCAATGCAATATAATACAATACAATACAGTAAAAATAATAAAAAAAAGAAAACCGACTCTCCCCCACCCCGGTAGCCATCAGCTATCAATAGCTCCTCAGTTAGAGGTAGGAGCTCATGAGCCCTTCCTCATTCTCCATACTACAACACTGCTGTCCTCCCTGGCCCCTGGCCCTTACACTCTCTCCTCACTCTTTGTGCCTCGACGGGGGTGGGCGAAGTACACACCCCTCTGCGGCCGAACACGTTACTGTACAATTTAATTTTACAATTTGTGAAAGGGTATGAATAAGGACGACTTTTCTGTGGGCGCATTCATTTTAAATACCTTCACGAGCTAATCTTATTAAGACATACTACTTTGCCTCCCTAGAACTATATTTTAGCATTTGCTAACCAATGTTAGCAGGACTCAATTATTTTAAATTACTCTCCTGAGCAGAGTTAATACACAATCAAATGTGTAACTATAGATTAATAAGTAATGGGGTGATATAGAGTGAGCAGAAAGCATTTGGAACTAATTTGTATGCCTTTTGAATAATATTTAATGACTAATAAGATAAGACTGGTGGAACTCATAAGTTAAGAAAGCCATGGAAACACGGTATTGAAATCTCAGGCACTAGGCACTATACTTTGAAGATTTTAAGATAATTCTCAGTCGAAATAAACTTAGGACAGCCTGCACTAGCTCAGGGTCAGGGGTTCTTTCCTGATTTCCATATTTTTCTTGCCTTATTGATACCTGTCTCCTGAGCACATACCGTCATTTCCTGATCTTTCTTCTTCTATTTATCCCTAGTGAACTACATCAAAGGCTACCCTGTCCATGGAGGATTCTAAGATATCTTACTAAGAAGTGTTCATTTCCTTGGAGACCAAAGTTAGTTCTGTGAGAAGACCAGTAAGCAAACCGTTAGATCAAAGATAGGCCTGTGTATACACAAGCACGCTGTGTTATAAGGACAGGGAAGGGACGACAATAACTCCATGTAAACACAGAAAAATTTCCCAGCACATGACTTTTGGTCTGTCCCTTCCTAGGGTAAGAGGGAAAGGAGAAGGTCTCGGATGGAAGGAACTGGGGTACAAGCCCAAGTGGAAGCCCTGGCTGCATCAGGGAAGATGCATGCCATAGGCGTGGATAGAGAGTAGATTGTTCAGCTGGCCGGCAAGGAGTCCAGAAAGATGTTTGTCCTGGGATAAGGCTGGGCAGGAGTTTCACTTTGCTTTCTACTGTAACCAACAGAAGTTTGATGCAACGAACAGTGGCCAGTGATGAAGGCTTGGACTAGGGAAACTCCAGAGCAAACTGGGAGAAAGGGGTGCAGAAATCTCTGAGGCTGTCTCAGTAGACATAAGAGAGTGTGGCCTTGGAAACAGGAACGGGAAGGGTGACGGAAGCCGCCATGTTTGACTAGCCACCTGATAATGTATGCCTAACTTCAAATGACAGAGGAACAGATTTGGTGAGAACAAGACTCTGACTATAGACTAAGCCCAGATAGAAGCAACAGGGGAGGCAGATTTGAGAGCTAGACCTCAAAGAAGATAGGCTACGCAGGGAGAGACTCTTACTAAGCAGGGCTAGGTAGGGTTGTGCCACTTTACTGGCGCTATGGTGGGGGATGGGTGAATACATCAGTAAGTTGAGAAGAAGGAAGTCAAGATTGTGAGCCTCACCGTCTTGTTTTCCACCGTGTTTGAATTCCAAAGATGCTAGATGAGATTTGGGGATGGAAACTGAGAATCACCAAGCAATATAAGCAAAGTAAGGAGCGCATAGGGCATCCAGCAGAGAGAGACAGATCCATAAATTAGTGACCACACCAGTCCTCAGAACTCTCTGCTTTTCTGGAAGAGTGCCTGGAAGCGTCCACAAACAAGCTGAGTAGAGTGTTGGACTGGCCAAGCGTCAGGAGTTGGCAGGATTCATATGGGGTGGAGGGCAGGGAGTTGGTTTACAAGAGCATAATGGGAATGAGAGACCAAGAACTGATGAAAAAAAAAAAAAAGCCAGAGGTACAGGGAAGTGACAGATGGGAGCAGCGCCAGGATTAGGAGGGAAAGCTCAATCAGGTAGGGCAGGAGATGGAGAAGGGCAAGACAGAGGGACATGTGGCGTTTTTAGGAAGTATCGTTATAAAACTAAGCTCCATTTCTGCAGAGGGTCTCAGACCGGGACGAGGAAGGAGACCCTTAACGCGATACTAAGTGGGTACAATTCTGGCCGTGATGATGCAGAGAACGAGCACTTGCTTTGTAGCTGCTCTAACATCAAGGTTGGGTTAGAGTGGAGCACTGTTAGGACGGTGGCAGGAAGAGGGGATGAGGGTATTAGGAAGGCAGACGTGAGACAGCAGAAGCCAAGCAGGCTACCTAACTATAGACAGCTGTACTCTGGAGTGGACCTGGCTCCCATTAACACAGTGACTGTAACCCTACAAAGAAGAGTTATCTGCATTCGTACAAGGTTCCCTGGAGCCAGAACTAAGTGAGGAGCAGCTTCAGGCTAAGGCCACCCTCAAGAAACTTTCCTCTGAGAGCGGTAATCTCAGCGTGTTTGAGGAAATATTAGAGATTACCAGAGGCATGTCAAAGTGAAGCTTCAGGCACTTGGTGGCAACATTAGAGTCATCCAGGCATCAAACAAGATAGGTTCAAGAATGAATCAGCCACCTGTATCTTCCCATTCTGTTTATTTTAAATGAGCCACACCTTGGTCCTGGAGAGATGGCTCAGCAGTCAAGAGCATATGTTGCTCTTACAGAGGATCTGAGTTTGGTATCCATCACCTACATCAAGTAGCTCACAATCCCCTATAACTCCAGATCGAGGGAATCTGGAACCTTCCTCTTACCTCTGTGGGCACTGCCCTTACATCCACACAAATCATACACTCACATACACACATAATTAATAATAATAACAAAATGCTTTTTAACTGCTCCACTACAGTCAGTATTCAAAAAGATCTATGACCTAAATGATGAGTATTTTCATAATAATTTTGGTCTTTATTTAAGATATTGTAAGTGTCTATAAGGATGCTCAAAACATGTTATAATACATTATTTATACAGACCTATTTATATTATTCTAGGAAAGATTACCTACTCTTTGGGGTTTGTCATGGTGCCTTGAAGAATAAGGGATACATAAATAAATACAGGCATTGGTTGAGACACAACTCTCCAGCTGGGTGGACTTTCTATGCCCACAGAGAGCAGAAAGATAGGCAGAGGCCATCTTGCTGAAGCGGGTCAACATTACACCATACCTCTTCTGATGACTTTCGAAATGCCACATAAGTTTGTAGGACTCGTGACCTGTAGCTGATGCTTCGACCAAGTGTGCTTAATTCTTCTTCTAGGCATTTCGCTTTAAAAGAAAGCAGTGCCCCTTCGTCAAGTTCAAGTTCATTTTTCCCTGCCATGATTTCCGCAGCTGCTTCTAATGTGTGTGCTGTCTCCTAGGGAAGCAGAGCGCACAGGGTCAGGAGCCGACAGGGGAATCGTGAACATCACATTCCATTACCCTTCGGCACATCCATCTATTACGTTATTAATTGAACTTGTAGTGAGAATTTCCTCAATCAGAGAAAGGCACAACTTTCAGAATTCCAAATAGGAAGGAACAAAGGGCACTGGAAACTGAAAACCCTCTCCAGTCCTCCTTCGGCTCTGGCGAAAGCTGAAGGCCACGAGTGGTTAAGACAGAGGCCTATTGTCCTGGGGTTCAGAGAATCAGGACCCGGTAGCCGGTTTCCAGTTCCTGAGCTGCTCTGTGCTATGACTTTCCTCGGCCCTTGAGGGAGCTTTTGAACTCTTCTGCAAGCCTGGTTCACAGCATTTGAACTCTCAGCTCCTCTGCCTCTGGTTTTCTCGGGAGTTTTCAACTTTCTGAGCTACAGCAATTCCACCACTGGTATTGCTGTGGAACTCCTGGCTGACTTATTACAACTTGGACTGAGGCCAGGCCTTCCGCCTCTAGGCACTCTCTGGACCTCTTCAATTCCACCTCTTCTTTGCTGCTGCCGCCTCTGCCACCGATGCTGGAAGGCCCAGTGGTCTAACCTGCTCTTTATACAATTAGTCTAGCCTGTTCTACCCATAATATAGACCACTATCAAACTGAGAGAGTAGGCATTTCTTCTGGCCTACTGTTGCAGCACAGGGGACATGATGAGGGAGGGAAGCCCCTCAGACTAAGTCCACCATGGCCGCCAACAGCCTGTTGGCATGGGAAAGAATGTGGCATGTTGGTGCTTGGACTTTGATGTCATCAGTGATAGCCTGGATATGTATGCCTTCCTGTTCCACCAACCACAGCTTCTACAAGGGCCAATCACAAGCCTCCTAAGCTTTCTGCTGAGTCGTTAGGGGAGGTCCTCGTCTGCCTTACTGAGAACTGCTATTGCCAGGCTCAGAAACAATGCGAGGCTGGGGGGAGTAGGGTGAGGTAAAGAGTCCTTCAGTAGGGCCATCAGAGAGGTTGTTGTGGTGATGGTATATATAGCTGGACCAGCAGTGGCTCTCAACCTTCCTGATGCTGCGACCCCTCAATACAGTTCCTTGTGCTGTGGTGACCCCAACCATAAAATTATTTTTATTGCTACTTCATAACTATAATTTTGCTACCGTTACGAACCGTAGTGTAAATATCCGATAAGCAGGATGTCTGACATATGACCCCTGTGAAAGGGTCGTTCGACCCCCCCCCCCGCCCCCAGAGAGGTCAAGGACCCACAGGCTGAGAACTACTGGTCTACAGCCAGGCCTCCAGAAGCGGAAGTCAGTGGCATTAGCCACAATCCCGATTGCTGTGTTCTTGGTGTATCTGTTTTCCTCAAGGTATTCACGAAGGGCTCAAAGAGACCAAGACTTCATGATGGCTGTTAGCCAGTAGCCAAAAGAGGAGCTGTTCAGCTGACAGCTCCCTCAGGTCAAGGTGGCAGGCCTCAAGAAGGGCCTGACAGCACCTGTCAATCAAAGGCTTAAACTGGCGGGGGGGGGGGGCAGTAGCTTAGCCTATTTGAGGGGAAAGTGAACATTAAAAGTTGCTTCCAACAAAGACCTGTCATAACATTAGCATTCTTAATGGGATCTAACAGCGCTTGCTCAACTCCTAGCTAATTGTCCTTAGGGAGAATGGGTCCTTCTGATCCCTCTCAATACATTATTTGCATGTGTATTCTGATGGTGTGTAAACAAACATTACTGCCAATCACATAAAAGCGCACACATGTAATCATGTGCATCACATAATGCCTGCTAATTAACTACGTTGATGCTTAGTATATTTACTATACAGAATTTTTATTGTTAGCGCGTTCTTCTACACATATGAAAAATGTGCTGTAAAAGAGTAGCCTGCTTGTGCTGGCCGCAGCTTCAAACACGGCGTTGACATTTCTCTGCTGCGTCGAGGAACCCTGTCTAGTGGCTGACCTGTTCTGTCCATGGCTGTGCACACCGTGATGTGGGCACAACAACGGCTGAGTCACCCAACAGCACGTTTGTTTCTTAGAGTGTCTCCGCATCGTCAAGTGGTACATGACTAAGAGCCACAGAAAGAGCCCTGGAACATTTCCTGAAAACGAGCGAGGAACCGAGCAGAATTAACGAGGAATTCCCATGCTCTCCTTGGATACCTTCCCTAGTTAGTGCTTAATATGCTCTTCAGGGACTGTGTGGAATCGCATTTGCAAGCCTGTGCTGGGACAACACTCGGCAAAACAAAAAGGAGCACGGGATTTCTCCCCGAGTTCTCTCGTGGGCTTCTAAACTGAAAAGGGAATGCTGCCAGACATGACTTAAATATTTCAAATGATTTTTTTCTAAATTCCATTCTAAAAAGAATAAAAGGAAAACATGGGTGTCTGTCTGCAGTGAGGCCACTGTTCAGAGGGAGGTCTGTGGAGACAGGGGTGTCTGTCTGCAGGGAGGGCGCTGTGCAGAGGGAGGCCTTCTGTGGAAACCTGAAGATACAGGGCTTCTCCTACTGAAGCAGGTGAGCGTGAGCTGGGGGAAGGCACTCACTTTTCTGAATTCCTTCAGGCAACCTGTGGGTCGCAACCCTTTCTCAGATGTCATGTTATGTCAGATATCCTGCATCTTATATTTATATTATAATTCATAACAGTAACAGTACTACAGTTATGATTTATGGTGGGGGTCACCAGAGCATGAGGAACTGTAGTAAAGGGTGGCAGCCTAGGACGGTAGAGAACCATTGCTCTAGCAGGAATCATGAAATCTAAGCCTCAAGGACAGGGGCAGAGCTGGAGATGCTGCCAGTTGGGGACGGGGCACTCAGTGTCTGAAAATGGAGGGTAAAACAAGGCTGTGGTTTTGATGTCTCATCAGAGAGTACAGTGACAAGTGTCATTTCTGGATATTCTCCTGTATGACTTGGTCTTCAGAAAACCGCAAGTAGTCTTAAAGAATAGCTTTCCCTGCCTCGTCTGGCACCTAGGAAGAGTTGCTAGCACCTCCCAAGCAAGAACCAGAAGCCAGATAAGTACCTGAAACCACAGTTGCAAAGAGTATAAATACACTAATAAATGGACACAAAATAACAATCATTTAGAGGCACACAATACTGTGGTTTTCTATGCCATTATCAATTCTACATTAACTTAAAACTGCTACTCTCAAGGGAGCTGAGATTAAGCTCCATAACTTTGAAAAAATATTTTTAAATAATTATTTATAACATTATGATCCTAATAATAACTTTAATTACCTTGGCTTGGATATCTAATTCCAGATATTTATTCAAAATCTCCTCTGACTCAGAAGGGCTGGATCCGACAACCAGTGCGTTAGAAAGAACTGGCCTGATTTCCTGAATTGACATCTCCACCTTGAGGAACAGAGAATATATTAAAGTCTTAATAATATATACTTATGTATAGGTATGTACATATAAGAAAATATTTCATACATTGCCATTGCATTTTAAGTGTTTATCAATTCTGAACTAAAATAGCTTTGAATATTAAAGAATTTCATATCTTGATAATGCGCATCTTCATGTGATGCTATACTTGTGACATTCGAGAATACATTCTTTTATTAACAGCAATGACTGCGAACTATCATCCATACACATCTTTGAAGATCTTTTCTGTATTACCTACAAAAGATGATAATGCAACATATTGGCAGAGATGAACTCACCTGTAGGTTGAATGAGACCAATTTGCTGTCCGATCTGAGCAAGCATTCTAAGTAAGGGGTATGAATATCCTACAGGCTGTCATGTTTGAGGCTGAGGAGCTCTGGGAAACACCTTGTCCAGATGCTAGTGAAAGCAGGGACCTACTCGAATCATTTCACTGTTGAACTGAGGGAACTGTGATTTGATCTTTGGTTCACAAGAACCGAAGGCTAAGGAGACCCAGCAAGGGCTTCATTCTACTCGAGTTGCTTGCTTCATCCCCTTGCTTTCTGGAGAATGCACTTTCCACAGCTAGGAAGATAAGAAGCTACAGGTGTTTAAATTCCTGCTCGGCTTTCCACCACCACCAAACCAGCGTGACTCTCAAGCTACGGGGCATCCAACACCACAGCTGCGTCTATGCTCGAACTCTCCCCGGACCCAGGCAACAGGACACGGCTCACAATCTCAAGGTACTGGATCAATAACAGGATAGGGAAGTCGTCTAATCGATGTTCTAGAATGCCAGGCTCTATGAAGTCTGTTAACTCGTCTCCTGTACGTTCAAGCGCATGAGTCCGATGTAACAAATGAGAAGCTCACTGACCACTTGAGACCCAGCCTCTGCAGCACAGTTCGCTACCATTGTGTCACCAGAGGGCATGAGATAAAAGGTCCCCTGGGAAGCTACTGCATCCCTCCGCAGAGAGGAGGCTCCCACGAATGCTTGTATGCGGATGACTATGCCTCTTGCACCGGTTTTGCTCAATAAGTATGAGGACGACATTTTTTTCCCCAGAAACACAAAACCCATAATTGTTGACAACTGTCTGTCCGTCTGAAGTTCTCCTGTTCAGTTGTGCCATGATCATGACAGCTAGTATGGGACTGTACCTAGAGTCATGGAAAACAAGGTCCCTCCTCTCAGTGCATGTTTGATGGGGCTAACACAACTATGGAGTATATGTAACTTTGTTATGAATGTATATACATACACATTCAGGACTGGGGAGGCAGATTACATTAGACGTTCATTATTGACAACCTGGGGCAGGGGTGGTTGATGAGCAACCACGTATTTGGTTCTAAGACCTACTGTGTGATATAGAGGAAGTCTGAGGAGACACACGGCACCCTCCCACTATGCTCACAGTTGGACACCATCCATGAACACCAAAGAAAAGGTTGACATTTTATGAAATTACCTTCCTTAGGGCGCCTTCCACGGACGCTGCTAATTGTTGCTTCTTAAGAGCATACTCCTTGTGCGCGGTACACTGTTCGCCGAGACGGTCCACATGCTTCTGAATGCATCCCATCATCTCCTGGATACCTGTCACCCGAGAGCTGAACAGAACATGCCAGGTGTTAGTTCGCTTGACCTCGACCTAGAAGCCCTGACAAGAGGGGACATTTGAAACCAGACATGCTCTTTCAGGTGCAGTGGGTTGGTCCAAGCTACTGCTTTAGGATAACGGGAGTTAAATAGTTATCCTCTTGGTATAGCAGGCAGCAAAGTCAGAGTACGTTCCCTTGTTTCAAGTCAGTCCGTCCCGGGGGAAGGATGAATTATGGCTTCTGTGACAGGTCTAATCTTTTTAAAGGTTTGCTTTTAATATTTCTGTAAGGTACTTCAAGAATCTTCCGGTAAACGGCACAGTGTGTTGACCAAGTTTTCCTGGGGGTATCATTTAAAAGCTTCATTTATTTCAAGATGCTCCTTGAATAGGAATGTGAATCAGGCAATTAGCAGAGCATTTGCTAACCCAATAGGGTGAAATATTTATATATTTTGTTCTCAGTGGTTATGAGTGCTGAAGGCTATATTCACTAGATAAAAACCTAGCTATCGCTAGCAATTAGGTATCAAACACACTCATTTATATTTGATGCCTCACATGATCATTTATCTAACTTGTGCTGACCTAGGAGACGAAGGTGGCAGGAGGGCTCACAATGGCACGCCTTTCTACCCAGCTGTGAGTCGGACTCCAATCGCTCCCGTCTGTCACAGGCTTCCTCACCATTTCCAGGATACACTAGCATGTTGGCAAAGCAAGAATACTATGCACAGAGTGAACACTTCCAAATTGTTCAGCCCGTTCTCAACACAGTACCTTGCCCCTATCTTAGAAAAACATCCCTCCACTCATGTGAGCCTGATAACTCTTTAACTATCCTGAGAGGTTTTTTGGGGGTGAAGGGAACCTGGGGGTATTTTTGTGTTTGTTTGTTAGATCTTGGAGCTAGGTCCAGATTTCAGGAATTTGACCTCAACAATTAACTTGAGTCAGTAAAAATAAATTGAAATAATAATAAAATAAGGACAAGCTCAGAAATAACCGAGGGCTGCAGTAAGGTCGCTGAAATGATTATAAGGATACTTCCACAGTGAGGCCCACTTGGATATGTCCTGTAGGTACAACAAGGGTCCCAGACAAGCATAATTATGAAATATGATATGAAACCACTATGCAAAATACTGTTCCTGGTATGTAATGTTCCGGGAATACTCAGAACAAATAGTTTTATATCTAAATACTCAAAATCAGTGAAGAAGATAATAAAAAACATCAGGATATTTGTAGAAATAATTCTGACAGAAACCCATGCATCCCGTAAAAGCCGTATCCTGGCAATATGAGTTATTTTAACTAAGATGAAGGCTAAGGTGTGATGTGCTAAAAAGGCCTGTCAAGTCCAGCTGTCCTATAGCAACACAATCCGAGTTTTCTAAAGCATATTCAAATCTAGAGTGGGAAAGAGAGACAGCGATCATGTAGCCCTATGGGAAAACACAGAGGAAAAGGAAATAGAAGGAACAGGTAGACACGGAGAGAGGAGAGAATGTGAGAAGAGGCAGAAAAACGCCATGGCAATTTGAGAGTTATTTATCGGTAAAAATTAGAAATTTAAAGCAGAATTTGAAAAAAGAACTGCATCAACCAAGATGAAGGATGCTGACTTCTAGTTCCATGTGGCTTTCCACCCCCAGGCCCAACATGCTTCCTACATTTATTACAGTTAGGCATTCTTTCCCTACAACTATGAATTCTGAATCTTCTACTTCCTGGGGGGCAACGGTCATCAGTAAACAATCCCACCAAAGAAGAAACTAGGCACACTGCTTTTTGGTTCCTAGCCAGCTTTGTGTGTGTGTGTCTGTGTGTGTGTGTGTGTTATGGTGTGTACAAATTTGTACAAATGTAATGGTTTTAATTTTTTCCCCAGTAACCTGCCCCATCACAGACTGACAGAAGCAATATCTGAACATTTGAGCCTGTGTATCTGATCTTTTAGGTCTTGAGTCAATTTTTTTTTCTATCTTCCTGTATTTTTTTTTCTGAGTGTGTAGCACACGACATAGCACACAGTGGAGCATTTTCCCCCTGACTTTCTTTTGTCGGCTGCTGCTGACTTGCATACAAATTGACTGACTGGTTGGCAAGCTTCTTCTGAAGTTGGCGGCTTTCTTTACCTAAAAGCCACGTCTGCATGTAGTCTGAAAAATGGTCACTAGGGGGACATACTGTCTTGTTCAAGTTGCATACCTTCCAGCACAGAGAACACAAAGCGAGAAAACAAACCCAGATCAAGCACTGCTTCTGTAAAAACAGCACCTTTTGAAAAACCATAATTTTAATTTTTGTGGATCACAACCAATAAAATAGGATCTGTCTGTTTCTGATTTTGATTTTCAGTCACCTATGAGAGTCTCATTTGGGGATCTTTTGTTTCTTATCAGTCAGTGTATCTCTTACGCTGTAAACTCTTTAAGGAGAAGAGCTGGAGGCTTTACTTAGTCCTATAATCCATGTAGCCTTAGCACACAGTGTCATAATAAAGGAAGATTAATACTTTTTTTTTAAAAGTTGAAGACAGAGTCTCAGCTATCTGAGCCTGGCCTTAATCTTCCTATGCAGCCTAGGGACCTTGAACTTTTGACTCTGCCGTCTCTGTCTCCTGAGCACTGGGATTACAGGTACAGGCCACCATAGCTGGTTTATGGGAAGCTGGCAATCAAACTCAGAGGCAGAGCCTAACTGTTGTTTGCTTACTGGACACAGTGTCAAACTGCATTCTAAATTTGTTTATATTTACTTATTAGTGCTGCTCTCAGCCTCCCTCAGAGAGTCCGCCCTTTGCAGTGGGCAGGAGTCATGTAAAGACTCACAAGTGTCAAAGGGCAAAGAATAGGGGACTGTGGAGTGAACGACCCTAAGTGGGGCGTGACCCTCTCTAAAGCTCAAAGAACACAAACATGGAAGAAGGAACGCAAGAGCCGGAGGATAGAGAGGGCGCTGTAAAATGCTGTCTTCAGGGACTGGCAAGGCTGCAGCATTCATAAACTCCCTCCATGTAGCTGTGGGTACCTGGAGAAAACCTACGGAATATTTGGCCAGTGTGCAAGGCATAGAGGACTCTGAGGTCGCACCTCTCACTGAGGGGTGACACACAGTTATGGGGTTCTAGGGAAGGGTTTATCACTTCCTTCAGTGCTATAGTACAGCTTCTGATAAGTGGTCCATGTTCAGTAAAGAATTCCCTACTGATGTTCATGCAAGCAGCCATAAGTCTATTCAGTGGGTTGCATTAAAAAAAAATCAAAGTAGGAGAAGGGGAAAGGGTTATTAGACACAGAGGAAGGGAGATGAGAGAGGGTAATGAGGACAAAAATGACAAAAATTTAATATACAATGTATGAAACTTAAAAAAGGAAAAAAATAAAATACCAGAAATTAATTTGTTTTAGCATCACAGTAATAGTATCCTACAACTTGTGAATACACTCACTGCCATTGTAGACTGTCTAAGATGCCTAGTTTCTTTTTTTGGTGTGTATGTGCACTTACAGTGAGGTTCAAGCAATTTTAACATGCATAGTTTTGTCCAAGATGCACTTCCCTCATCTAATAAAGCTTTATGAGGACAGTCTGAGTCACCTTGCTCTGTCTCACTCCTATCTGCAGCACAGACTCAATCCTGCAACCCATCCCCCCTACCCCATCCTCAGAAAGCCACTCCCTCTGATAGGGTGCTAATCTCTTCCACTTCTCATTCCCAGCAGGAATATAATGATAGCATCTATCCCATTCCCAATCCCAGGGCTACACCCCCCTTTCAGGCTTCCATAAGGAAACCCTGTTCTGTAGATTACAAGCAGCCCAGACGCCATGTTTTTGTTTAGAAACTTCCATGCTGGTCCTGATTTTCAGTCCTTAAAAACAGGGCTAGCACACACCCCAGCAATTTCTTCAGTACTTTAATAGTCATTGGCCTGATCAAAGGAAAACTATGGCTCCCCAATCTGCTAGCCATTGAAAATAAATGAAGAGAATTTTGTCATTCACAAAAAACAAACGGCTATCACACTACAGCTGTGTTCAACTAAGGGTGGAGCAAGAATTGACGGTGACTAAGGAGATCTGATTGACGCAAACCGTGGCGCCCTGTTACGCTGTTCCCATTCTAAAGCACACTGCCTGTGTGTAATGGGGAAGGGAGAGGTCCGACCAACGGGCTAATGATCTGTGGCCCTGGATCGCATTGGAAAGATTGATTGACCTTTGGATTTGCTCCGTGAGCATGGATTTGTTGGCGCCTATCAGCAGTGTGAGCACGAGGCGCGTCAGATTATTCCTGATCTTGACTTTGGCGTTCCAATATCACAGATGCTCAGACACGTTGGATTGAGAAGGCTTCTTCAGACATTCATTAGAAGCTCCATCGTGGGGGCATTTGAACCTTTGTTAATTAAGCCAATTGAGGGGAAGAGGGAATAAATGCTTGGTTGGTTTTTTTTTTTTTTTTTTTCCTTCAGAGAGGACAGGCATGTTGACTTTTGCTTCCGGAATAGACTGCTCTGTTTACTGTACGGAAGCACTCACCCTGTCTTCGCATCTGTCGCAAGTGGGGGTTGGGGGATGGGGCAAATCCCCAAGTTAATGCATTCTAATGACTCATGCCGGAGCATGCAAGTTGCTCGCCACCCTTCCATAAATTACTACGGCAGCCCATCTGGAGCAGGGGCTGAGCCAGATGGTGAGCGCTTGACAGCGTACTCTGTCTCAGCAGAAGGGGTCAGCTGACCGCAGTTTCCTTTCCGTGTATGGCAAATGACGCCTGGAAGATGGGGTGGGGAGGGTCTCCTATCTTTAGCTTGCTGCTCCCTTTAACTGAGACCCGAACTGCGTCCTTTCTTATTTGTGACTATCTTCATTTGGGGGAGAAGAGCACCAAGTCTATTTTTTATCCCTACTTTGAAGAAGGGCTGTTTGTACTACAAACGTGAAAAGCATATCTTTACAGTATTTCTGATGATTTGTTATATATTTTGATACTTTTTC